AAACTTTATTAAACATGGTGTGCAATAATCCAAACATTCATTGTCCTTTCAAATATAATTTGAAACAGACAACTATAAAATATCCAAATATAAAAAAATAAATGATATAAAATACCAAAGGCTAGAGCAAGAATTGAAAAAACTTAGGTAATATATTACATCTCTTAAAAATGATACAAGTAAACATTAAATTTGTCCCTTATTGGATACATTATAAAAAGGAAGTTGTGTTCAACTAAAATGAAAAGGATCAAATTATAAATTAAAATCTCATCCCACATTTAATTATACACTTGAGTGTTAGACTCATATGAAACTTGAGAATCTCCCTTAGCCTAGTAGCACTGAGAATGCATATAGTAGACATCCAGTAAATATGTACTAATTGAGACAATATAAACAAATTTTTTTAAAAGTCAGACACTGGAGGGCTCCTAGGGGGCACAGTCAATTAAGCATCCATCCTTGATTTTGGGTCAGGTCATAATCTCATGGTTTCAGTCCTGCCTCAGGCTCTGTTCTGACAGTGCAGAGTCTGCTTGGGATTTTCTCTTCCCCCCTCTCTCTCTAGATAAATAAATAAACTTTAAAAAAAATCAGACACTGGGAGAAGATATTTGCAACTCATACAACCAACAAAAGATCAGTTTACAGAAAAATATTAAGCTTCAACAAAGCACTTTGAAAAACTCAGCCATGACCTGGTGATTCACAGAAGACTAAATACTAATGAACAAGAAACAACAGGGTAAAAATGTTCAGCCTCACTCATAATAGGAAACTGCAAATAATGAGAACAATTTTATACCAATGAGGGCTGGTAAAAATATTAAAGTGTGACAGTATCATGTGTTGGTAAAATGCAGGAAAATGAGAATTCTCATCACTTTTCACTATTCATAGCCACTTTAAAAAGGAATGTGACAATATCGATAAAATTGACCACCCTAGACCTAATAATTCCAATTCCTGGGGAAACTTAGCACATGTATATGCATAGTACACAGAGTACTATTTGTAATAGCAAAAAAGTTGGAAGTGGCATATCTATACATAGAACAGAGAATGAGTCCATTATGGTGTATTTTTACTTAATTTAACAGTCAAACTAAAAAGTATTCAAGTGTCAATATGATTAAATGCCTAAAATTCTGATGAATTGGAGTGCCCTGGGTGGCTCAGTCAGTTAAGCATCTGGCTCTTGGTTTCAGCTCAGGTCATGATCTCACGGTTTTGTGAGTTCGAGCCGTGCATCAGGCTATGTGCTGACAGCGCAGACCCTACTTGGGATTCTCTCTCTCCCTCTCTCTCTGCTCCTCCCCGCTCATACTCTGTCTCTCTCAAAAATAAACTTTAAAAAATAAAATGAAATAAAATTCTGATGAACTGAAAAAAATCAAAATGCAGAATGACATGTATAGAATGACAGCTTTACTAAAGTTTTAAAACCACACAAAAGTCTACCATGTATTTACAAAAATCAGTGTGTAGTAAAAAGCAAGAAAATGTGGATAGACTGGAACATCTCAATCTCATGTTAGTAGCTGCCTTTTGGTGCAAGTTGGAGAATGGGATGAGGAAGGGAAACAGACTTCAACTACATCTAGAACATTCTGCCTCTAAAAAGATTTGCAGCAAACAAGATAAACTTAAGATTTATTAAACTTGGGTAGTAGGTATATGAATGTTTGCTCTATTGTTGTTCTGTGCCCTTCTACATGTTTTATTTAGGTTTCATTAAACCAATAACAGAACTAATGAGTATTGTATTGTACCTAACAAAGGTAGTAAGCACACTTAACAATATGCTTCAGTGTTTGATGTCGAGGCTCTATGATACTGAGCAGAAATGTTTGTAAGTAGAGTCAGTAAGTACTTTGGCAAACCAACAATTTTTTTTTTTAAGAAAGAGACTAGGTTCACTAAGTATGAGCTTTTTTTGAAATGTTTATTTATTTTGAGAAAGAGAGAAAAGAGAGTGCACACAAGCAAGAGAGGGGCAGAGAGAGAGGGAGATCTCAAGCAGGATCTACATGGACAGCGCAGAGGCCGACATGGGGCTCAATCTCTTGAGCTGTGAGATCATGACCTGAGCCAAAAAGCAAGAGTCAGGCACTTAACCAACTGAGCCAGCCAGGTACCCCTAAGCTCTCTTAATGGCAAATCTGAATTATGAAAAAATGGTAATACAAAAATAAATGATTTACTTTTACCTGACACACAAAAAATATATAAGATTATTTTCTTACAGAAAAAAATGAAGATATTTAAGTAATCTGGAAAAAATATCACATATCAACTGTGCACATGAGATCTAAGCTATTCAAATGAAAAAACTATGTAAGCAATTAATAAAGCATAGTGGACAGAATCGCAGAGACGTCAAAATTTTTCCAGGAAGCAAATCATAGTTTTTTTGGAAGTTATAGTATTTATCTAAAAGTGAAGAGTCCTCAATGAACTATGCCCCAACTGTATTCATTCAATATTTGATCACTGTCAAACCGAAATATTTTTAAAGGTGCTCAGGGTATCAAAATGATCAAAAACTATTAAGACCACCTATCCGTATATCTCTACATTTGGAAAATCGTTTTAACAGATCACAAAAGTATGGATATCATAATTTTGATTTGGAACCAGAAACATATTTCCAGTGATAATACTGCATTTTCCACCATGGGTTCCACAGAGTAATCTAAGAATGAATTCAGGGAGCTTACGTCAAACTGAATCCATGTGCACTGAGATGTTCTCACCTAACACGGAGAAAGCAAATAACAAACATCATTCAAAACTACAACAGACTAGCTATCTATAATGAAGTCCAAGTACAGTAAATATCACTTAATGAAATAACAAATCTATTAGTTAGTTCATTCCTAAGTTGATCTGACATGATGGAGGAGTTATTTATTCAATAGAAGCTAGGTGAATAGAAAAGGTTTTTTTTTCTATTTGCTATATAAGCTTGAGTGCTAATACCTTGGGAACCCATCCATATGGGTTTCATATGGAGCTCATCCACAAAGGTTCCTTCAATTGTTTTGTGATTTTATCTGAAAAGGTTTTTCTTCTTGGTATATTTTGAGTCAGACCTCAAGGTCTTCCAGGTTTTTAAGCACAAAGAAAACTTTATAGATTTTATCACGAAGATGCTACGTATAGAGTCAAACAGAAAAAAGTCTGTCGTATTAACACAAAGCATCCATGAATAGATCTATCAACTCACCAATTCCTGTTATAGGCAAGGGTTTCTTCTAATGTTCAATAATTAACATCATAAATAATCATGTTGAAGAAAAATATACTGGCATAGGTTTTCATTAGCAGTATGCCTTGGATAAAAATATTTATATGCAAATCTTTTTGTCATAAACAAAAATGGGGATTTCACATTCATTCCTTACTCCATTTAACTTTGTTCTTTTGAATGCCACAGAGGAAAACTCCCCAACTCTCAGCCCTCCGGCACCACAAAGAAATAGAGCATCCAGCATCAGAGAAAAAGAACAGAGTACTACTCTGCAATTCATGTCATGAAAGATTGATGTAAGAACATTTTTCCTAAAGCCAATAAAAGCAAATGATATCACAAGCCCTTATGGAAGTGATTAGGATAGAAATAAAATAAGTAACAATAAATGAAAATTAGTTGAGAAGCACAGTCCCTGCAGATACTACTTGCCAGAGGAGTTTTTCTTAAAGCATCACAGACCTAGACTAGAATTTGTAATCCTCGAGTTCCAGTGACTGAACACAGGGAAGTATTAAATCTGAACCAAGTAATTAAAAAATCAAGACCTCAAATGAGCTCAGCGTCTAGACAGTACATAACCAGTACTATTCTAATTCACGAAGATTCAGTAAGCCCTAATACTAAGGACTTTAGAACTTGATTCTCTCACAGAACCTTTGAGTAAGGTTACTCTAAAAGGTATTTGTTCACATATTGATATGGAAACCAAATGACCTTTAACTACAAATCCATTATCACGCAGTGGAAACACATGAAGTATGGATTTCTGAAAACTTTCATATTATTTTCTTCTGTCAGTTCCTTTCATCCTCTGCTCAAAACACCAAGAATGAGAATGCAAAGCTTTTTCAGCCCACTTGAAAACAGAAGCTAAAAAGAAAAAAAATTTTTTTTAAATTTGTTATAAATTCTTGTCTAACTATTAATTTCACAGCACACTGAATCAGGTACAGATGACTGAGGAATTAAACAAGGTCAACAGAACACTGAAAAAAATGAACTTCTCTCAAAGACATCTGAGTATTGACCTGATGCTATCATAGGCTTACTCCTTTTAAGTGCCAATTGTTTTCTCCCATCTGTGTCAAATGTTATTATAAATCAAAATCTCTTCTTGTCCCAGGGAAAGTTTCTAGTAAACAGGAGACTAGAAGTCAAAAAACATATTCAATTAGCTTTCAGGAGTTTATTTCCAACACTGTCTCAAGGCTCTTTGGGGCCAATCTGGTCTGGAAGCAAAGTCTCAGAGTAGTTTGCACTCTGGGGTGAATACAGTGATTCTTCTCCACTTGAATACTGCATATGTCAAAGGCACCCTGCCTAACAAACCCATAAAGGCATTAAAGTAATAAAGAAAAAAAAAAATAGAAAAAGTAGTTTCATGCTACTAAAAATACGGCCTAGCATTTGTAAAACCTATAGTTTTAGATCACTTAAAATATATGTCAAATTGAGTGGAAAACTCAAAAGGTTTTTTTTTTCTCTTCTATTTAGAGTTCTTAAACCTTTTAAGTTTCCAAATAGCAACTATCAGGCCAGGCTGATAGTTCACAGATCCTTTTATTATCTTAACAACTGTAATAACTCCAGTGAGAGAACTAACAAATTCCCAAGAAATTACCTCGAGGATTTACAAGCACGGTGTGAAGAATATAGAATATTTTCATTCTGGTGGAATACAGCTATAAGATACACAACAAAATTTTTAGTGTGGGGTTAAAATATCAGTCTACACTGAACATATGTGGAAAAGATATTTAATTGTAAAATAGAAAAGTAGGCCAGAGTACAGTTTTAAGGGTAATTGCTTCTTTATACAGATAGGTAATCTAGGAGGGTCTTAGGGTTAAACATTTTCATAAAGCAATAAAACATTAAAAATAAGGCAAGAAAAAAGAGCTTGAAGTTATGTTTTACAAAAAAAGAATGAACAGTATGTCAGAGTTTAACGTCCATACATTGTGGAATTCAACAATATTGTGATGAGAGCAAGTCACAGCACAGACATACAGCTTTCACAGGGAAAAGTAAAAGTTATGTTAGACATATCTATAGCATCACTGTAGTACAAAAAGTTCTTGTTCTACATACAAAAGCAATTTTTTTTTTCCGTAAGAATAATTTCCTGGGGAGAAATGAGTCCATGAAATATTTCAGAAACCCATATGCTCTGAGTATTCCAAAAACGTTATCTTAAAATCCAGTGCCTTAAAGTGCTTTCATGTGGAAATCATGATGGAAGGCACAGAATACAGTTTCACGTCCCCACTATGAAATTTTCAAAAAAGCATAGATTTTGCAGTTTGCAAATTCAAGTTTTCTTGTAAGCTGCTCCTTCTAAGAACATTGTCATTCCAATAAAACCAGCTGCAAGCTTACTTACTTTCAATGACCTACTAAATAAAAGGACTTTTTTCTTCTAGTAACTTTCATCATCTTTGTGGGAAAAATACTTATGCAAGTGATGCGTTTTGAAATTATAAAACATGCAGAATATGTACAAACAGAAAGTTTAAAAAATATTTGCTTCATATACATGTAAATCTACTTGGGTATAGCTGAAATTGAACAAATATAAAAATTTGCTTTCTAAAAAATGTTTTCAGAGAATCTGAGACAACTTAAAGCTGTACAAAGATTTCCTGAGAGAAATCTTCTCTTCACATAGAAGTTTATACCTACAGGAGTAATTCCAGCATCAGTCCACCACATAATTATTACATAACATTTGGTCTAATCAACAACGATCACCCTTAAAACTGTTCTGTTTCTGAGAAATTAAGGTTCATACTAAAATCAAAAAGAATTCACAAAAACAGTGGCTTATTGTGTTTTTGGATCTCTTCAACAATCTTTATAACTCATTTGGAACTGTAAAAAAACAAAAACTATTTACAGAATTCAGTTTTAAATACATTTCACAACTTCTAAAGTAAAGTTTTATGTTACAAGAATTCAAAGCTCATGGCTTAAGTCCAGTCATCAATCCATAGTCTCTTCTGCTCTCCTGCTTTCCTGCGACTGCACCTTTTGCGTACAGTTCAAGACTGGGTTCTTTCTTAACCAAAAGTAAATCCAAACAACATGTTCATTTCAATTAAACAGCTTCTTTATTAGTCTGAAGGCGAGTCATAGCTTCTAATTTTTGTCTGTAGGCCTCTGCTTCCTGTTCTTTCTTTAGAAGCTGCTGTCGGTATTTTTGTGCTTCTCGATTTGCTTCATCCAGCTGTTTCTGAAGAGCTTCTCTCTCCTAATTAAAAAAAAAGTGTTTGTTTTTTCAATTTTTGCACAAACACATTATGCACACACACAAGCATGCATCCTTCAAACAGAAAAATCTGTAGTAGCTAGATGTAGTCACCACGTACTGACATTTCCTAGACATCTTGCCTTTTCAGCCAATTCGTTAATAATTAAAGCCCCTAACTTTGTGCTCCACCTTCTGATACAGATTAGTTTCTGACCCCAAGAAATTACTCCGATTAAAAATAAGATTAACATAATGAACCCAGTCAGTGGTACCTATACTTTTATTCATACTACAAAAACTAATGAAGACTTTAAGACAGAAATATACCTCTTCACACCTCTTGTGATGTTTTTATGTAAAGGTATAATAAACTGTAACAGTTAATACTTACTGAGCACCCATTATGTGACCACATATTTCCAACAACAAGCCTCTAAGAGGATAGAGATTATCCCCATTTTACAGATGAGGAAAATGCTGTTTGGAGATGACATAGCCTTACCCTAGTAACACAGTTGGGTTTACGAGACTCTAATATTACTGCTTTTGAAACTATCTTCCTCTATGATAACAAGCAAGGTTCCTCATCTCTAAAATGAAGGAGTGCTGGTCTAGATTAGTGTTTCCTAAATTATGCCATTTCTACAAACCAATAAAATACTAACTTCTCTACTGTGCTTCATTCAATTGTCCAAATATAAAATATATGCATTAAATTCTTAATGCTAAACACAAATCTAGCCCAATGAAAATGATATTCTTTTTTCTCCTCACCCTGCCCCTATTCAGTTGCCTAAGGGAAAGCATTTCAAAGACCCCTTTCCCATGCCTCTAGGACAAAAGCTCAACCTTCACAGGCCCAAGCACAGACTCATTACAGAGGCTAGGACCTCTCAGAGGGATGAAGGCCCAGGGTAGGACTATTATTAATCATAAGAAACACCAGGTTCACACTGGACAAGACACTTGACCAGAGGGAACCAGAGGTAAGGGTCAGCCATCTACTGGGGAAGAGGACAGTATGAAGGTCTCTTCTACTGCCTCCTTTACTCCTGTCCATTATGAACACTAAAAGATTCCTTCCCCTTCACTAGATCACACATGGTCTCCAAGGAGGAGCATATTTAATACTCCTTCCTCCTTTGATCCCATTCCCTTCTTTGTACTGGGAATGAAGTAAAGTCCAACATATATTTTTTTCTCCTGGGTCCACCAAAGGTGGTAATGATTGATTATACAAGTAGTCTTCCATTTACACAAAACGTATAAGAAATGCATGCACCCTTCATCTCCATTTAAGAAATGCCCACGCCCTACCCTGCTACACTTTTCTTACCCCCTTCTGACCCTTCCTCCAGGCAAGATGGCAGAGTAGGAACAAGTAAGAAAGGACGCCCAAGAGTCGAGCCTCAGGTAAGTAATCAACAACATTACCTTGGCAGTGAACTATGGAGAACTTTGAGCATGCCAATGGAAAAGGAGGGAGAGGGGTGCTGCTTCTCCAGGAACTAGACCCCCACCTCCAGAAGCACTCATGGCCGTGCATAAGTGTTTTAAAATTTTACATGTGTTGGGGCGCCTGGTGGCTCAGTCGGTTAAGCGGCCGACTTTGGCTCAGGTCATGATCTCACAGTTCATGAGTTTGAGCCCCAAGTCGGGCTCTGTGCTGACAGCTCAGAGCCTGGAGCCTACTTCGGATTCTGTGTCTCCCTCTCTCTCTGACCCTCCCCCGCTCACACTCTGTCTCTCTCTCTCTCAAAAAAATAAGTAAACATTAAAAAAATAAAATAAAATAAAATTTTACATGTGTTAGGGTGCCTGGGTGGCTCAGTCGGTTAAGTGTCCAACTTCAGCTCAGGTCATGATCTCACGACTCATGAGTTTGAGCCCCACGTCGGGTTCTGTGCTGACAGCTCAGAGCTTGGAGCCTGCTTTAGGTTCTGTGTCTCTGTCTCTCTCTGCCCCTCCCCTGCTCATGCTCTGTTTCTCTCTCTCAAAAATAAACATTAAAAAATTTTTAAAAAGTTTTTTACATGTGTTAAGAAATAAAACCCTTTGGTAACCAAAGTTTTGAATTTGGTAGGAAATACTGGAACAGATTCTCTACAGTATCTCCTAAAACTTGCCATTCATTAACATTTAAAAACAGCAAGGGATTCACAATTACTTCAGAAGATGAAAGCAAACTGAGGTAGTCTAACAGGAAATACAGCTTGTTTTTATTCAATTAGTAAAATGTATCTTAATATAAATGAAAAGATAGCTCTCTTCTGTCTAGTAGGCCAAAAAAAAAAAAAGATTCATTTACAGTGCATGTGTAAACTATATGTGTCAAGTCTGAAAGATAAAGGTCATTAGCACTACTCTTTGAATATACTTAAATCCTCAAGACTGAAAGCAGTTAACATTATTAAAGTTTTTTTTTTTTTAAGTGTTTCCCTTTTTCAGTTCTCAGGAATATAGGTATTTGGGGAATCTTTTTGCCATCTCACTTTTCAAAGCAAGTAAAAATCTCTAAAAAGTGGAAAATATCACTTTTTAACTTTACTCAAAGAGATCCTTTGTTTCCAAATTTATTTGTTAAAGGTTTACTGAACATAAATTATATTCAAGACACTTCCTTAATATAATCAGTAATGTGGTTGTTTCACATATAAACAGTACAACAGACTGACATTTGAGATTTATATTTAAATAGAAAGTCAAGCCTATGGCTTTGAACTTTTGCAATAAAAGCACAATAAAAAGGACTCTGACCTGTGTAAATATACCTTAGTCTACTAATGTGTAATACTAAGTATCTTTCCTTTAACAGTCTAACATGGAAGAATTCAAAAAAGTAAATTCTGATAATAGTCACAATTTGGTTGCAATAGAGAAGATACTTCTCTTACACTACAACTCCAAACCTGCGCAACAGAGTAATAGGGCAAATGAAGACTTGAGTTTGCTTTATTTTCAAACAAAATTCTTGAATTCTGCTTCAGCTGGTAGCAATGACCTCATAACCATTTTATTATTTTTAATTTTCCAATATTCAAATTTATTTTATCTTAGCTATTATAAAGCAAAAAAAAATCATTCTACTCATTTCTCTTCTACTGTACTTCTATATAAATTTTAGAAGATAATTTTAATAGCAGCTAACATTTACTGAGCATTTATCACATGCTCATCATTGTCCTAGTCTTTTATGTGTATTCTCACTGAAACTTTATAACCATCTGATAATTTAGGTGCTATTATCTTCCCCCTTGTTACTGATAGGGAAATCAAGCCATCCAAGGTTAAACAATTGATCAAAATAACACAATCAGAAAATGATAAAATATACCCATATTCTTAACCATTAAATATTTGTTTAAAAAGAGAGAAACTGGGCAGGGTGTGTGAGCTGCCTGTGTCTTTGTGTATAAACACTGATTTTCCAAGCGCCATGAGCCACATATGAGTCTGTTCTTATAAAGTTTTACTGAAACACCTATTCATTTCCAAAATGTCTGTGGCTGCTTTCCCTCTATGATGGCAAAGGTAAGTGGTGAAGCACAGACTGTACAGCCCATAAAACCAAAAATATTCACTATCGGGCCCTTTGCAGAAAAAAACTTTGCCTACCCCAGCCCTAGAGAAAAAACTTACCAAAAAGAAAGAGGACTATATGAAATCTTAAACTTTGGTAGATCAAAATAATATCAATCAAAGGAAACCAGACTGGAAAAAAAAAGCTGCATCAAATAAAACACTGTGTAAGGTTTATAGAAATCAAATTTTAAAAGATCACTAAGGATCCCAATCTATCACTGGTTAGAAGACACAATATTTCATTAAAAATAAACAAAACTTGCTAATAAACATATTCATCTCTAAACTCCATAGCAATGAAAAGGTATTTTCTTGAATTCACACAACTAAATAAGAGAAGAATCTGTTATTCCTAATGCACTAATTATATTTTCTCCCTCCCACATTACAAAAGAATAGTTTTAATTTCAATTCGGAATAGCATAATGTTTATTTATGGAAGACATCCATAAACAGCATACCTCTCTCAAAAATACGTTTAGTGCAGTACTCTCGAGGGAGTGATATGATATACATTATTGCAATTAGTGTCTTAATCATACCTCCCCTTCAAAAAACAAACCTATTTCACTGCCTACGTTGCTATAAGGCAGATATAAAAGCTTCAACATTTACAATACATTTTCTACAATTTAAACTAATTTTGTAGAGATTATTAATAAACCTCTCCAACATTAGTTGGGAAACTAAATTCTTAGCACTTGACTTCTAAACAGTCACTCTGGTAGTTGTGGACACACACAGAGAAAACCCAAATATGTAAGATTCTGTATAATGAGTTAATTTTTTTAAATTTTTTTTTGAGAGAGAGAGAACACACGTGCACACACACACAAGCTAAGGAGGGGCAAAGAGAGAGAGACAGAGAATCCAAAGCAGGCTCCATGCTGACAGCACAGAGCCTAATATGGGGCTTGAACTCACTAATTATGAGATCATGACCTGAGCTGAAGTTGGATGCTTAACCAGCTGAGCCACTCAGGCGCCCCTGATTTTTAATTCCTTTAGAGCAGAGTTCCTCAATCTCAGCATGGATATTTCTGGACCAGATGATTCTTTACTGTGGAGGCTGTCCTGTGCATTGTAGGGTGTTTAGCAGCATGTCTAGCCTCTACCCACTATATACCAGTGGCACAGCCTGGTTGTGATAACCCCAAATGTCTCCAGACATGGCCAAATGTCCTCTGGGGTCAAAAATGCCCCAGTTGAGAACCACTGCTTGTGAGAAACTTTTTCAGTTAATGGCTGAGCTGTCACTTAGAGTATAAAAGTCAAGTCCAAGACAACTCCATTGGTTGTCTAAGAAAATAAGTTCAAAATAACCACTCCGTGTAGTATAAGGAAATGACTCCCTGGTTTGATGAAAACAATGGAGGCCACTCTTCATTCTATATCCTCACCTCTACCACCAACACTGACTGTATGCTTAAGGTCTCTCGGTAATAGCTCTAAAGAGATCATGCAATGTTGGCATTAACATTTCTGGTGATGGAGAATGAGGTTTTCATGACCAGAAAGCTCTAATAACTAAAAACAAAACAGAACAACAACAACAAAAACACTTCTTTATAACAAGCTAAAACTCCATCTCCCTGAAGTTCTATCTTCTTGGTTCTAAGTAATTTCAATACCTCAATTCATACTTTCCTGTTACTTGAAATTATTCTCCCTGGTCTCTGAAAGACCGTAATAGGGAAATCAGGCTGAACCTTGAAGAAAATAGCAACTCTCACGGGTTATTAGGTGAATAAAGGCACAGGCTACACATTCACTGTTTTAAATACATAATTTCTTGATTTCAGTAAGTTTATGTTCAATAAAAATTCAAAGAATTTAAAAACGTTTTATTAGTTAAAGCAAAGTACATGACAAAATTTTTCACCTTATGTGCCAGAAATTATAGTCAACATCAGAAAAACATATTTAAAAGATTACAAAATAAAAAGTATACTAATATTGTTCAATGGAATAAACTGTTTATAAGAACTTCCAAGTACTGAATATCATTTTAAGCTCTGAAGAAACAAAACAACTTACCCTCAATAATTAAAGTCGTACTTTTACAAAACATTCTGGTTAAAATATGAATAAGATTCTTTTTAACTCAATAATACATTCTTTGTGATTGTGGCTATAGATGTATCAGCATTACACTTAAATGCACTGGAGCAAAGATATATTCTAGTTGCCCTTAGTCAGAATCATGTTGCCTTTTAATGACTTTTTTAAAAAATCCTCTTTTTGGAGCAGCTGGCTGGCTCAGTTGGTAGAGTATGCTACCTCTGATCTAAGGGTTGTGAGTTCAAGCACCACATTGGACATGGAGACTACTTTTAAAAAATAGTAATAATGGGGCGCCTGGGTGGCTTAGTCAGTTAAGCGTCCGACTTTCGCTTAGGTCATGATCTCGCGGTTCGTGGGTTCGAGCCCCGCATCGGGCTCAGTGCTGACTGCCAGCTCAGAGTCTGGAGCCTGTTTCAGTCTGTGACTCCCTCTCTCTCTGACCCTCCTCTGCTCACGCTGTCTCTCTCTCTCTCTCTCTCTCTCATAGAAATAAATAAAAAAAAATAGTAATAATAAAATACTGAGGAACGCTTGGGTGGCTTAGTTGGTTGAGCATCCAACTCTTGATTTTGGCTCAGGTCACAATTTCACAGTTTGTGAAATTGAGCCCAGCGTCAGGCTCTACTCTGACAGCTCAGAGCCTGCTTGGGATTCTCTTTCTCCTTCTCTTTCTGTCCCTCCCCAATTTTTTCTGTCTCTCTCTCTCTGTCTCTCAAAACAAACATTTTTGGGGCACCTGGGTGGCTTAGTTGGTTGAGTGTCTGACTTCGGCTCAGGTCATGATCTCACAGTCTGTGAGTTCCAGCCCTGTGTGTTGGGCTCTGTGCTGACAGCTCAGAGCCTGGAACCTGCTTCAGATACTATGTGTCCCCTTCTCTCTGCCCCTCTCCCGCTCACACTGTCTCCCTCTCTCTCTCAAAAAAAATTACCAAAAAAAATTTATATAATAAAATAAACAATTTTAAAACAGTAATATTAAAAATAAATAAAATCCTGAGTGCACCCTTCAAAAATAAAATAATCTTCTTTTCTATGGAATAAATTCGGCCCTTCAGAATTCCTATTCACCAACACTATTTAAGATATTCAGCAACATTTACTGTTTACACGTATCACATATTACAAATATGAACATACTGAATACACTGACTTCTTCAATTCTGACAAAACATCCAAAATACAGATACTATGATCCAAAACTCCGATTTGAGTGAAAATAAAACGTAAGCTCAGAAAGGTAAGAAAGAAAGATGTGCCTCAAAGCTAATAGGGGCAAGAGGTAGAATTCAAATCTAGCTCATTTAATTTCAAGTCCAATGTTCTTTACATTGCAGTTGATCTTTCAAAATTATTCTAGAATAACTTTACTTACACTTTATGTGAGTTAATATCAAATTTAGGGGACATAGTTTTATTTATAGTCATGCAAGAAAAAAACCTGTGAGTTATCTATGATTTGGTTACACTCTCAAACTAGTCTGGTAGGAAGAAAAAGGATGAATCCTATCAACAGCTAGCTTAATTTAAATTCCTTTTTAAAGAACTTAACAGTGAAATAAGCAGTTATTTTTGGCTTTTTAAAAACAACACAGTCAACAAATATCAACCTTCTTTAAAAGGATCCTCCAACCCAAACAGGCATTTGCATTTCATTTTTGAAAGAAAAGAATATCTTTCATCAATATACAGTGACATTTCCTTTAGTGACTTGTGAGAATGATGTATGTAAATTTAATAGAAAATAAAGGATGAAGTACAAGAACCAAAGACATTCCAATGTTATCACAATGACAGACTTTGTTATAAACAAATTCTTCACTCATTCATTCATTCATTCAATATTTATTTATTGAGGGTTTGCTATATGTATTAGCAAATATTTAGACAAAATAATACTATGTACTTTCATTCTGTATCAAAACAAAACTGACAGTAATAAATATAAAAGGCGAAAAAAACTTAAAAATAAAGAAAAGCAAATAGAGTTTATTTTGGATGACTGCAGCAAAACACACCGGGTAAAAGACTCCTTACTTCTATTTCTGCAGATTCCACCCGGTTTTCAATTATTTCGATACATTGTCTCTTAGCTGGTGGTTCTTCACTTATAACAGTTTCTTCCGCAATGTCGGTTGCTGGTACTGTTAATACTGAAATGAAAAAAAATGTATACATTAACTCATTTTCAGATAGGTTTAGTAGAAATAAAACTGTGATACTGTTGATATAACTCCTCTAAAATAAATATGTCCCAAAACAATAATTTCAAAGTACTGATTTGCTTTCTAGGAGAATGTCCATATCAGTCTTCATAGTGCATTTTTATTGAATTCCACTTGTTGTTTAATGTACTTATTTTTTTTTAAATTTTACAGATAACATATTCATTATATTGCTAAAAATCAGAACAATGTTTAATAAGCATAACAGATAATCACTTTTACTGACTTATTATTGTGCTAATTTATACAAAAACAAACCTGAATATACATTCTCATTTTTCTTTCTTATACAAAAGAGATCAAACATACATACAATAGATACATTGCTCTGCCTCTGCTTTTTTCACGCCATGTATCTAGGGTATCTTTCATCAGTACACACAGAGCTCTCTTTTATTCAGCTGCATAATATTCCACTGTGTAGACATATCATTATGAACACTGTTTATAAACTCTGCCTGTTTTTCTTTTGGGTTGTTGGATTTTGTCCCTAATTTTTTTGTATTTTTTTATACAGATGTAAATATACAGAAAGGGAAAGAGAGAGAGAGAGAAGAGGCTATCCTTGCCTTGCATAGCAAGCAGTGTGGGACCATAGAAATGACTGTGAGCTGGAACCACACAAAGCAATTTTAATACTCAATGGGGGAAATCACAATTGTTTTACAGCCTTTGAGGTTTTTTGTCAAAATATGAAAAACTCTGGGGCGCCTGGGTGGCTCAGTCGGTTAAGCGTCCAACTTCAGTTCAGGTCATGATCTCACAGTTCGTGGGTTCAAGCCTGGCGTGCCAGCTCAGAGCCTGGAGCCTGTTTCAGATTCTGTATCTCCCTCCCTCTCTGACCCTCCCTGCTCACGCTGTCTCTCTCTCTCTCAGAAATAAATAAAACATTAAAAAAAATAAAAAATATGAAAAACTCTGTCATTTATAAATGCAAACAAATGAAAAAAGTAAAATATTTATTTAGTACACTGTAATTTAAAACATTAGACATACTGAGAATTAAAGTGTTATTTTTTTTTTTAAACTCATACCACATTACACTTAGAAATTAACTCAAGAGGGGCGCCTGGGTGGCTTAGTCGGTTAAGCGTCCGACTTTCGCTTAGGTCATGATCTCGCGGTTTGTGGGTTCGAGCCCCGCGTCGGGCTCTGTGCTGACTGCCGGCTTGGAGCCTGGAGCCTGTTTCAGTCTGTGACTCCCTCTCTCTCTGACCCTCCCCTGCTCACGCTGTCTCTCTCTCTCTC